TCTGTTTATTTTGAACAGGCACAAGTGTTTTAGTCACAGTCAGCAACAGAACTGAAGAGAGCCTTGTGATATGAAAAGCACAAAATAAACAGAATAATGAAAAATAAAACAGAATTAAGAGACTGAGTTTAACTCTCAAACGTCAGAGAAACATTAATTGTGCATTAAATTAAAGATTTGGTCAGCTTTAACACTGAATAGTCAACTTTAAAACTGAGAGTTCCTCCATCAATCCGGGGTCGCCACAGCGGAATGAACCGCCAACCATCCAGCACATGTTTTACGCAGCAGATGCCTTTCCAGCTGCAACCCATCTCTGGGAAACATCCATACACACTCATTCACTACGGACAATTTTGTTCATCAATTCCCCTAAAGCGCATGTGTTTGCACTGTGGGGGAGCACCTGGAGGAAACCCACGCAACACAGGGAGAACATGCAAACTCCACACAGAAACACCAACGGACCCAGCCGAGGCTCGAACCAGCGACCTTCTTGCTGTGAGGCGACAGCACTACCTATTGCGCCACCATGTCATCATCTATTTTTTTTATTGTTCATTTATTGATTCACTTATTTATTCATTCATTCATTCATTCATTTATTTATTTATTAATGTATTCGTCCATATAATTATCTATTCATTCATTAATTTATTCATTTTTTCATTCGTTTATTTATTTATTCATTCATTCATACATCCATATAATTATCCAATCATTTATTAATTTATTTATTTAATAAATCATTTTATTAATCAATTTACTCATTCATTTATTTATTTATTCATCTACTCATTCATTCATTTATTTATTCATCTATTTTTTCATTTATTCATTTATATACTTATCCATTCATTTTTCCGTTTATTTATTAATTCATTTATCCATTCATTCATTTATTTATACATTCATTTATTTAGTTATTTATTCATTCATTCATTTATTTATTCATTTATTTATATATTCACATACTTATCTATACATTAATTTATTCATTCATTCATTCATTTAATTTTTAATCATTCATTTATTCATTCATATACTTATCCATTTATTCATCTATTTATTCATTCATTCATTTAATCATTTATTCACTCATTCATATACTTGTTCATTTAATTATTTATTCATTCATTAATTAATGTATTCATTAAATAATTTATTTATTCATTCATTCATTCATATATTTATCCATTCATTAATTAGTTCATTTATTTATTTATTTCTTCATTCATATACTTATCTATACATTCATTTATTTAGTTATTCATTCATTTATTCATTCATTTATTTATTCATATATTTATCTTTACATTAATTAATTAATTAATTCATTCATTCATTTAATTATTCATTCATTCATCCATTCATATACTTATCTATTTATTCATCTATTTATTCATTTATTTATACATTCATTCACTCATTCATATACTTGTTCATTTATTTATTTATTCGTTAATTAATTCATGTATTCATTAAATAATTTATTTATTCATTCATGTACTTATTCATTCATTCATTCATGTATTCATCCATTTACTCGTTCATATACTTATATATTTATTCATCCATTTATTCATTCATGTATTCATTCATTAATTTGTTGCTTAATTATTTAGTCATTTAATCATTCATTCATACATTTACTTATTCATATATTTAAAATTTCTCATGTGATGTGTGTATGTGAGTGAGTATTACTTTGAAAAACATTATGTTATTTCAAGATGAACACATGAAGACAGAATAAAATGCTGCTGTTATTTTTTAAAGCAGAGGCTCTGTTCTTTTTAAATTAATAATATGATTATATTTATATCATACAACATTCTGAAGGCTGTCAGATTTACATGAAAATCATCAATAAATGTTGGTGACGGCTGGCAACAGTGTTTTTTTTATTATGAGGTAAAACTTCGCTCTTTACAACTTTATATTCACACACAGCCACAATACACACTGTATGAACGATCATACTAAAGAGCAGCATTTAAAGGCATCCTAAAGTGCTTTAAATGAGTTTAATTGCCAAGTATGTGCTTTAAAATGAAGACGAAGAAGTGCTAAAGCGTTTCTGCTAACCAGAATCTGTGAAAGTCTTGTGAAAAACAGTGAACGTGAGGCTCTTACTGCAGCACAGCTTTAATATGACACTCGTCTGAAGTCATTTAATCATTCACACTGAGCCAGACCTGCGTTCACCTCGTCTTCAGATATGCAGCGTTCCCAAATGACTATGACATTCTTCTCTTTGGCCTCCACAGGGAGCTCATTTAAAGCGCCATCTCGAGTGCCGAACAATTAAGACTTATTTGTCAGAGAAATGGGGGTTTTTAATGAGGGGCTGCTCTGATGGCACGAGTCAGCAGAGGAATCGCTGATCAAATACAGAGGAATCAATTATGCAGGAGTACTGACTTGTTGAAACTTAATCTTCGACTTGAGCACAAAGCCAAAGATGTGTGAGCAAAAGTTTACACCAAAACTTCATCAACATCCTGTTGTTATTGTTAAAGCACAGTTTTGTCTACAGCTTCACGCTGGTTAACACAAAAATATGTTAGCGAATCATTAATTCGTTGCTCCGGGTAAGTTTTGTTGCACGTTTCTGATGACAAATCCACTAGATGGCGCTGCGAATCTGAAATATGCTATAGATCTTTTCCGAACACATGAGGGTTTATTATATCCCAGGCTTACTGGAAATAAGTGCCCTACATTTTTGCAAAGCACGAAATACATTGAAGTAGGTAGTGCTGTCGCCTCACAGCAAGAAGGTCGCTGGGTCGCTGGTTCGAACCTCGGCTCAGTTGGCGTTTCTGTGTGGAGTTTGCATGTTCTCTCTGCATTCGCATGGGTTTCCTCTGGGTGCTCCGGTTTCCCCAACAGTCCAAACACATGCGGTACAGGTGAATTGGGTAGGCTAAATAGTCCGTAGTGTATGAGTGTGTGTGTGTGAATGAGTGTGTGTGGATGTTTCCCAAAGATGGGTTGCGGCTGGAAGGGCATCCGCTGCGTAAAAAATGTGCTGGATAAGTTGGTGGTTCAATCCGCTGTGGTCAACCCGGATTAATAAAGGGACTAAGCCGACAAGAAAATGAATGAATGAAAATACATTGCTCAAGGTTTGTTTGGTTGCACGTTTCAGATGACAAATCCACTAGAGGGCGCAGTCCACATTTTCGCAATCTGAAGTACGATGTGTTGTTTTGGCATGTTTTAGATGCACATAATGAAGAATAAGTTATGCAGGAGTACTGATTTGTTGAAACGTAATCTCTGACTTTAGCGCTAAACCAACGATGTGTGTGCAAAAGTTTACACGGAAACAACAAACTTTAATATTTAAAAAACAATCAAGTATCGTAGTCAAATCTGAACGTCATTTAAATCCTGTTTTTAATGTTTAAGAATACTTTTATCTACAGCTTCACACTGGTTAACTTAAAAATATGTTTGCGAAATATAAAATACATTGCTCTGAGTAAGTTTCGTTGCACATTTCGGATGATAAATCCACTAGAGGGCGCTGTGTACTTTTTTTCCGAATCTGAAATATGCTATAGATCTTTTCCGAACACTCAAATGGTTTATTACAACCCAGGCTTACTGGAAATATGAGTCCTACATTTCTGCAAAGCATAAAATACGTTGCTCCAGGTTTGTCTCGTTGCACATTTCAGAAGACAAATCCACTAGAGGGCGCTGTGGTGTCTACATTTTTGCAAATCTGAAATGTGTTACTTAGGGTGTGTATTGCGGTACATTTCATACACATACGGAGGAATCATTTGCGCAGAAGTACTGACTTGTTGAAATCTAAGGCTCTATTTTAACGATCTAGGCGCATCTAGTCTGAATCAACTTTTGCTATTTTAAGGACAGATAAATACGCTCTGCGCGTGGTTTAACAGGGTTGTGCTTATTCTCTTAATGAGTTCTGGGTGTGTTTTGAGCATAACCTGCATTAAACCAATCAGAGTCTCATCTCTCATTCCCTTTAAGAGTCAGTTGCGTCTGTCATGGCACATTTGCTATTTACATGGCGACTTCGTAAGTGTAAAAACTGAACTGGCCATCATATAGATTTACTTTTATCGGCTAGACACCAGCCTCACAGCTCCGTAAATGTCGGTGCCGTCACTTATTGATCTGCGATTGGTAAACATAGCTTGTGTGGACGCTACAGCGCTACTTGACTAATAAAATAGCTCCGCTACTGAAAAGCTATTTGATTTAGAAAGTAGCGACGCTACCGCCACGCTACTGAGAAATGTAGTTAAGCTAGTAGCGTCACTACTTGTAAAGAAATTTTTTAGATGTAACCCCACTTGTAATCTTTAACATTTTCATAAATAACTGTAATTTAATTACACATTTTTACGAATAGTAAAATAGCTACGAATTACTGTTACTTTTATTCAATTCAGCTTTATTTGTATAGCACATTTACAATGTAGATTGAGTCAAAGCAGCTTCACATTTTATTTTGTAGTTAAATTGTGTAGCGTCATTATATGTAACTAGTTACTCCCCAACACAGGTTACGTCTCGCTTACTTGAGCGCCAAAAGTTAACAATGCAACCTATTTGCCAATAAATTAGGTTAATCCAGCATATCTGTGCAAGAAAAAGATCGACTGCTGGAGATCGCAAATGACGGCGGCCTTAGGGGCCGTTTACATAACGTCTTTTCCACGTGCCAGTTCCTCATTTCCAATGGGATGTGACGCGCGCATATTGGGGCCGATGTGCATCCTGTTGAAAACATCTCAACTTTTCAGAATGCTGCGTCAAAATGCTGTCTACTCTATGTAGTGCACCACGAGTCATGTGACAAGAAGTGACCAATCAGCTTTATACTCAGAACACTCCAACACTGCAGTGCTTTGTAATCTTCTCCATACATAAAGCTTGTATCAGAGCTGCAGCAATGTTGCATCAGCTTGTCATCCTCTGAGAGAAACTTTGCCTAGCAACCTTCGTACACTTACCTGTGAGGTGGCTCTTGTGTGCAGTGACGGGCTCGAACAGCTGCTCTTCCTCCTCCTCTTCCTCCTCTTCAGCACTGATGCGACTCTTCAAACAGATCTCATCCTCATGCTTACACTCGATCTCAGCAGCAGCATCTGCATCTGAAGAGACACACACACACACACACACCAGACGGACATCAGTGCTGATATTCACTGATATCGCTGACATTTCAAAATAATTATTGGGTCACACTTCTTCATCAGTCAGATTATGTTTTTTCTAGCATGAACTAATCATCGACAATACTTGCGCATTATTTATTATTAATCATAATTCAACATTAACTGGTGTGCTAATAAAATCTAGGTTGATCTGTGTTTTGTATGGATCACTGTTCGGGACACACGTGACCCACGGATTAATACATTTTCTTTATATTTGTAGATTAATCCTGTATTCGTAACGATCCCAGAGAGATCGCCTCTCACATCATTCAAATCACATGTATGAAAGCATTTACAGTAGGTTTTCCTGTGAAATATAATGAGAGAAGTTATATTTTAGATATCGCAATATCGAAAAATATGCATCGAAATATTTCTATTGTTGACAACACCAACTCAAATATTCAATATACACCAGCTTCTCCTGAAACGTGCAACTGAGTAACGCATTTCAGATTCGCACAAATGCAGACGGCGCCCTCTAGTGGATTTGTCAACTGAAATATGCAACAAAACTCATCCAGAGCAACGTATTTTATGATTCACACATATGCAGTCGGCACGGTGGCTTACGCCCCATTCACACGGGGCTTCAGCATTAACGCTTGACAGAGGGCGTGTCTGAAGTTGAGGCTGACGCGATTGCCATAGCAGTGTCAGCCAATGAAATTAGTCAGCAATAGGCCACTGTCTGAGCCAACCCAAGCTCATTCTGAAAACGTAGTCCCGCGGACGTTTCTGGAGACAGCGGAATACGTCCCGGGGGGTACGTACGGCCGCATTAATTTTTTTCAAGCGAACGCTGCGGGGCGGTGTGACGCTGTTCCCTTTTGCGCTTGCCTTACCTCCTTGTGGAGGGCTTCTCTCCAGCAATCAGGTAAGACGAAAACAGAATCCCAAAAATTAAGTGAACGAGTTTCGTGACAGGGTGAGAACGCGGTGAAATTTGAAAACGCGGTAGAAAAAAAAAAATAGTAATAATAATAAAAAAAATAATAAAAAAAATAATTTTAAAAAAATCGGGTCTTTTATTTTTTTTGGACGGTTTTTGTAAATTGTCGCTCGGGTTTAGGGAAACGAGCAGGTGGGCAGGCGGGACAATCGGTAAAATTGGTTGGGTTCAGGGAAGGAGGAGGGCGGATCGGCCGATTGGCTGGTCGCGCAGTCAATCATCCGGTCAGTCGGACAGCGGCCTCCGGCGGGTTCACGCGAGAACATCGCAGGCGCAAACCGCGCTTGCAAGAGGCTTCTGAGGTGCGAAAAAGTGCACAACAGCGGCCTCTCGCGGATTTGCAAAAACAAAAACTGCAGCCATACGTATCCACCGGGACGTATTCCGCGGTCTCCAGAAACGTCCGTGGGACTACGTTTCCACAATGAGCCCGGGTTGGTCTGAGCTGGAGTATTTGCATACAGCAATCTGATTGGCTGACACTACCGTCGGCGCTTGAAAAGTTGAGCAAGTCCCAACTTTTGCAGCGAGCAACGCCTTTGAAGCTGCGCCAACAGATCCACAATGCAGTTCTGCATGTCTGACGTCACCCATTCGAAGTGAATGGAAAGCGTTGAAGCTGACACCCTGTGTGAATGGGGCGTTAGTGGTTACCACTGTTGGCTCAAACCAAGAATGTCACTGATTCGAGTCCCGGCTAGGGCAGTTGGCATTTCTGTGTGGAGTTTGCATGTTCTTCCAGTGTTGGCGTGGGTTCCCACACAGTCCAAACACATGCGCTAAAGGGGAATCGATTAACTAAATTGGCTGTAGTGTATGAGTGTGTGTGAATGAGTGAGCATGGGTGTTTTCCAGTACTGGGATGCAGTTGAACGGGCATCCATTGCGTAAAACAGACGCTGGGATAGTTGGCGGTTCATTCCGCTGTGGCAACCCCTAAAAAATAAGTGACTAAGCCATAGGAAAATGAATGAATGAGATTTTAAAAATGTAGAGAGCGCCCTCTAGTGAATTTGTCCTGTGAAACGTGCGGCAAATCATACCTGGAGCAATGAATTTTATAATTTGTAAAAATGTAGGAACTCGTATGCAGTCGTGTTGCATGACACGACAAAATATGTTGTCGTTAATATTAATACTGCACAACTATGTACAAACCTATCCTCAACTTGTAAACATTGCGAAAGGTAAGCAAAACCATCTCAGCGAGGAATGGCCTGGACCTAGTTGTTATTTTAGGATGGTTTTCAACCTGTAAGGTCTGAACTTTACCAATGCTTCTGCAAGAGAATCCTCTAGAGACGCCGCATTGATGTGCACTGCAGCGAGGCAGATCGATAGCAGAACATCTGAGGATTTGACCGTTCTCCTGAACACACACCAGCAGCCACACAAAGCAGAGCGGATCAGGATAAGAAAGTGAACATTACTGAACTCAATAAAAACAAATATAGAATTTAGACGATCTGTTTGGTGGCTGAGAGAGCTCAAACACGCTGCAAGCTAAGAAAACACCTATATATCACTAACAAATTGAGAAAACATGCTGTCTTGTAACTATGGGGTGCAACAAGGATCTGTTTTAGGCCCCCTGCTGTGTTCATTAGTATACATTTTGCCTTTCATTTAAATATTAGAAAACATCATTACTTTCTACTGATATGCCACTGATAGTTTTGATTGTTAGTAGTGTTGTTCTGTGAGGTGCGGTGTCTGAGAGAGAAAAATCAAGCAGTCTTACATTTACACCACCTAACAAAAGTCTTGTCGTGGATCCCAGATGTAAGAGCAACAATAACTCGATTTCTAGTTGATTATTTGGAAAAGTGTCCGAAGGTGGATTTTTCAGATGGATCATCTGTTGATCTGCATCCCAATCATCACCAACACTGCAGAAGACCTACTGGAACCAGCGTGAAGCCAAGATTCTCACAGAAATCAGTCAAGTTTGGTGAAGGTAAAATCATGGTTTGGTGTTACATTCAGTATCAGACACTTCTGATACCAAATGATCAACTAGAAGTCAAGTTATTATTAGTGTTCCTAAAACTTGGATAAGCGACAAGACTTTTGTCAGGTAGTGTCAAATATGAAGTGCAACAAGGATCTGATTTAGGTGGAGTTTTTGGTTTATTCCAATGTCCTCATTATACCAATATCAAACACTATAGCAGGGCTATCACGACATGATCAAGTCACACCACATCACATGAATCTTATTTAAATAAGATTATTTTTTTTTTAAAAATCAAACATACACATTCATTTCTGAGAAATAGCCACAAGACGGTGCATTTCTCCTTGAACAATGCAGCAAATGCCATGAAGAAGACATTTTATTATGTCAGTGCTTTCTCTAAATTCCACCATCTGCACAAGTTCATTCTGTATATCGATTGACTTTCTCTAATCAGTCCTAACACACACACACACACACACACACACACACAAATGCACTCCTCGATTCATATTTTCCTTCAGCAGTAAAACAGAAGAGAGAGAGTGAGACACACACACACACACACACACACACACACACACACACACAGACACACACACATACACGCGCGCACACGCGCGCACACACGCGCGCACACACGCGCGCGAACACACGCACAAATCTAGATGATTATAATTAAATCACTGTAAATATACAGATTTTTTATTACAGTTTTATCCTAAAATGTTGATTGTTAAATGTAGTTTATTGTGATCCATTATTATTTTTATTGTTATAAATAAATATAATATATAAAAGATATGATAAATATGAATAACAATGTGATATATTGAATTAAACATGATATATTAAATAATATTATGATATATGGGATATGATATATTATTTATAAGTTTATTTAATTATTATATGTATATATCTATTTTTATTTTATTATTTTTTACTACTACTACTGTTTACAGTGTTTATATATATATATATATATATATATATATATATATATATATATATATATATATATATGCGCATGTTCTGTTACTTTTTGTAAACTTTATAATTGCTTTGGCAATAAATTTGTAACATTTGTCATGCCAATAAAGCAATTATAGAATTGAATTGAGAGTGAGCGAGAGATCTTATAAAGTTGTAACTTAAAACGGTTACGTTGACTTAACTTAATAGTCAATGGTTACAGGTTTTCAGCTTTCTTCTGAATATCTTCCTTTGTGTTTAACAACAGAAACTGGGTGGCACGGTGGCTCAATGGTTAACACTGTCACCTCACAGCAGGAAGGTCGCTGATTTGAGTCCCAGCTGGGCCAGTTGGCACTTCTGAGTGGAGTTTGCATGTTCTCCCCATGTTGGCTTGGGTTTCCTCCAGGTGCTCCGGTTTCCCCCACAGTCCAAACACATGCGCTACAGTGAAATTAAATAAGCTAAATTGACCGTAGTGTATAAGTGTGTGTGTGAATGAGTATGTATGTGTGTTTCCCAGTACTGGGTTGCAGCTGGAAGAGTATCCGCTGTGTAAAACATATGCTGGAATAGTTGGTGGTTCATTCCACTGTGGTGACCCCTGATAAATAAACGGACTAAGCTGAAGGAAAACGTTGGGGATTAGTAAACGGAGTAAAACATCATTTTTGGGGTGAACGATCCCTTTATTTATCATAAATATGCACACAGGTAATCTACTTCATATGTTTCAGGCAATGCGTTCACTCACTTTAAGAAAAGGCAACTAATCCCTTTTACAGTGAACTCTCGAGCATGAAATATGACTTGAAATATCATGCGCTGTGCTGTATTTATATGTTCACATCAGCGTCTCTGACAGGCTCCAGGTAGCATCATCTGTATGAGCTTTAAAATAAACACACGCGAGAGCTGACCTTTACATGAGACAAATGAAGACGCAGATCTGCTGGACTCACTCATGACCTCAATACTGCTGAACGCCACACAAGAAAGTCAAATAAAACAGAACAGAAGCTTATCAGAAGGATTAGAATACAGGTTGGT